CATAATACCTCTGGGATCTGTTGACAAGCAAGAAAGCTGAGTCCCAGAGAAGTTCTTTACCTAAGGTCAGGGGACCAGGACTTAACCCCAGAGTATGTACTCAAGATCTCTGTACTTCTTCCTTTATGAGTTTTAGATCCTGGAAGAAAAGGGGCCTGGTCATTTAGACCAAAGTGTGAATGTAGGAATGAAAGGTATCTCTGAGGTGAGAGGACCCTTTGTTCCTAAGTGGGGTAGGTGTTTCCTAGGCCTCCTGATATACCAACAATGCCCAGGCCATGGCTGTCTGTATGCACAGCCACCCAGTTTGGAGCTTCCCTGGCCACCACTGGCAATCAGACCCATCCCAGAAGCATCCTTGTGTGTCCTACGTGGGCCAAGCTGAGCTCAGGGCCAACTCTGCGGTACTCTTCAGGGCCACCGACAGGTGAAGGAAACGTGCCGGCATGGGGGGTGGTGGACTGTCTGGCATCAGGCTCTGTTTGCTCACCCAAGAAAAGATGAGATAAATATAGACACAGGATTACTCAGACACAGCCTGGGAAAACCGGCTCCTGAGCCTCGACTTCAGCCCAGGCCCAGCCTCACCTTCACCCGCCTGCTTACACGGAGCCTGCTGCTGCCAGGCCTGCCCCGCCTCCTTTCAGGGCTCTGCACCTGGAAGCTTGGGGAGAGCCCTTCCTTTCTGCTGTCTTGGGGACCAGGCAGAAAGGGAAGCCCATAAAGAATAGGCATAGGGCCTACAGCCAGGCTGGGTAGCAGAAGTCACTTTTCAAACACAGTACAGACTCAGTTTCCCATCTGTGCATACAGCCTTCACCTTCCTTGGACCTGCACATAAGATGTGGTTGGAGACCACACAGCTGAAAGAGTGAGGCTAGGATCTCACACACAAGAAGCAAAAGCCATATGTTGGGGGAGGGCTCCTCTGGAGCCAGCATGCCGGTGCTAAAATCCCACCTGTGCTCTATTTTAGCCTCAGAAAAGTTACTTAAAATATCTGTGCCTCGGTTTCCTCATCTTTAAAATAGAATAATAGAGCTGGGTGTGGTGGTGCATGCCTATAATCCCAGCTCTTGGCAGGCTGAGGCAGGAGGTTAGCCTGGTTAGCTATGTAATTCAAGGCCAGCCTGAAGTACATAGCAAGACCCTGTCTCAAAAGCAAAAACAAAAACAAAATAAAGTAAGAATAATAGCAGCCTATTAATACTAATTATTATAATTTCATATTATTATATATAGTAATAACAACTTAATAATAATACAATCTCCTGGGATATAAGAAAGAATTAGATGAGTTACTACATGCAAAATGCACTGATGCCAGGGCAGGACAGATAAACTGCTACTGCTTGTCTATTACCGTGCAGCCTGGGTAGGTGAGGCCGCAGCCCAGGTGGATTGGGCAGGGGGCTGAGAGGTCTTACGTTCCAAGAGAACTGCCAGGCCCTGGACTTCAAGAGTGCACAGGACACTACTGCCTGATGTCCCTTGCAGTCCCCAGCCTCCTTGCCCTGACTGCTTCCAGAGTCAAGCAGACAAAGATTTGAGCACCAGCTCCACCACTACAGACCGTGTGACATCAGGCAAGTGATTGCCTTCTTTGGGACGCAAATGGAGAGAACAGCCCTCCCATCTTTCTGTGTCCTGGTATTGGTATGAGGGTTAAATGGGAAAACATGTGGCAGCATCCAGCCCAGCTGGGCAAGCAGGCTCCCCACATTTAACCTCATCCTGAGCCCTTTCTCTTGAGACCTCCAGCTTCCTCCAGGGACTGTGAGCTCGGGCTGAGAGACAGCACTTCTGGTTATAGGATGCTCCAGATGCAAGGGCCCTTGGGGACCAGTAGGGTGCATACTCCTGACATTTGGAAGGAGCACAGATCCCCTCCTGCACAACAGTCACCCTGAGTTGCATCCATGCACATTGACATGGGTTTCTGTGTCCCATGTGCATGCCTGTCAGTGTACACACATCCACACACTCAAGGACATGGGGGCACAGCCATACATGGGCACAGGGAGACAGGTGGCTGCAGGTGTGTCCCTGCACATCCACGCCAGAAACACGGATGTCCTAGCCAGGCCCGGCCCCAAGGTGGCCGTCTTCACGGCACAGGAATGCAGACATCTGGGGATGCTCTGCCAGCGGACGTGAGGGAGAGGCCAAGGGGAAACCACACAGGCAGGAATCCAGGCAAGCGTGCCAGGATAAGGCGTGGCACTTGAGTGCCAGGAACTATGGAAGGGGGGCACGTGCAGATGTGTGCTCTGCTCCAGCCTCTCCCTTCACCCCATGTCCTCAGAGCCTTTAGGTTCTGGCAGTCAAAGGGGCTCAGAAACCATTAGCCCCACCCAAGGCAGCCTGAAGGTTGTACTTGCCTGCTGCTCCATGTGGCAGGGCCCTCTCTCTCTGGGGTGTGGTGGCAGAGTCTGAGATGTGAGGGGCCATTCCATATGGGCTTTCTCACTAGGGAACCAGAAGAATCTAGAGCCATAGAGATCTGCAAGAGAACAGCTGTCACTGACACAGCATTGCAAATCAAAGGACAGCCACCTGGAAGATGCAGGCCAGGGTTGGGGCTAAGCCTGACCTAATAGGCACTGCATGTTCAAGTGTTTGCACCTGCAAACTCCCTGAATGCTCACGAAGAGGCCCTGCTCCCCATCTGTGGATCCGGAATCTGAGATGCAGAGAAACAAACCCCCAGAGCTAGCTGGTTCCGAAGGCGAGTGTCTAACCACTGTGCCCCTCTGCACATATCACACCCTGGTAGAGAGGTTTGCAAGTGGGGCCTAAGCACCGTCGACAGAAGGAAAGGCAGCATCCCAAATGCCAGGACCTGTGGTGACAAATAGAAGAGCAGCTCCCGGGACCTCTGCAGCATCAACCTTCCCCAGGTGCAACTATACTGCCTCATTGAGGGGCTAGACTGAGAGCCAACCAGGGCTTGTTTCCAGTGCCCATCAACAGGGACCAGCTGAAGCCGAGTGGGGGCCGTGACAGTGAACCGAGAGAGGATGAGCACTAAGGACAGAACAAGGCCACTGCAAGGTCAGCCCTGGGTAAGGAGAGGTCACTCTCATCTCCTTCGTGAAGAACCTATGCCCTAAGCCAAAGAGTTTCAGAACACACGGAGACAGGTGGGGCTAGCCAGCACCCTAATGAGGACCTGCTCAACTCAGTGGCCCTAAGGCCAAGGCTGACAAAGGTGGCCTACTGCAAAGGCCCCCGGCCAACTGGGACCCCAATGCAGCTGCCCTGTTAGTGTCATGGCTTTGGGAACCTTATGAATGACAGAAGGGTGAGACATGCATGAAAAAAATGCCATCCACAGAACCCTCCCTGCAGCCCACCTGGCCATACTGCCCGTCCCAGGAACACTTGGCCATCTAGTTCCTGCCCCCAGGGATAAGGAAGCAGAATTCCCGAAGACAGCACAGTCATAGGGGGACCCGAGGCCTCAGAGCAATGGCAGGATTCTGACTGCAGTGGCTGCTGGTCTTTCTCAGACCAAACCATAGTGGAGGCTTGGACTTTTTTGCTCCATTTGTCAGGGCAAACAACGTCAGACACACAGGTAGCACAGGAAGCACTGCTGTGTTCCAGCCTAGAGAAGGGTCCACACCTAGGAGGAAGGTGCCCAGTCCAAGTGCCCTGGGTTCCTAACTCCTCTGCCAGTACCACTGTGGTCTTTGGCTCTCTGATTCTCAACTTCCATAAGCTGCCATGCCTACACTCGGGGTTGTTCTAATCATTAGTCCGCACTGCATTTAGAAAGATCCAGGCATATCCTGGCACACCGAGGACTTGAGTGTGGCCATGTGTAGTCCACAAGGACCTCCCAAAGCTCCTATGCTCCTTACTAAAGCACTTCTAGCCTTGAGACCTCATACCTATAACCGGACTCTGAGGAACAGCAAGACAGCCAGTGTCACCCCATTTGCCAGCTGGATCAGTCCAGACCCAGACACCCCCCCACCCCCCGCCGCGGGGGGACTAGAAGGAAATACACAGCAAGCCGCAGGAAGGACTGGGGGTCAGCTCATGTCCTGCCTTCCCTCCCACATGGTCCTCTACAGCCCTAGACTCTCCAGGGGCAGTTTCGGGTCATGCCGGGGTTATGGTCCAGGCCCTTCTCCTGGATCTCCGGTTCGTCCTCCTGGGCAGCCCGTTCTTGCCCGTGGTTCATTCCCTGTGATCCATGCAGGGATTCGGCTTGGACCATTCACATCAGCGGGGCCCCCAGGGGGCTCCCCTAAGAAAGTGGCCATGCTGATAAAGGGAGACTGCAATCAATAATTCTGTGTCTGAAGAAAGTAATACTCATTAATATCACAAGCTGATGCCACCTGCAGTTCCCTAATGAAGGACTAGTTAGTTAGTAGACCACAGTCACCAGCACTCTGTCCTCGCTGGCTCTAAATTCTGCCGCCGCTTTGCCCAAAATTGGTTGGGAGGTGAGGGCGGGCCGAGCGCAGCAGCCTGGCCTGCAGCCCACAGGCTGGCTCCACCCTCACCAGGCAGCCCGGCGCTCCGCCCTCGGGGAGGTTTCCCAAAACAGGCACGGAGGAGCTCGGTACTGCGAGCGACCTCAGCTCGGAGAGCAGGTGGGCTGGGGGTGGGTTCTGCACCACCTCCCGGTCTCAGTCACCCCCTCTGCCAACTGGGGATGTGCCAGACATAGTTGTAAGAACGCAGTCTGTGATATCACACCCAATCCCCATACTATGTTATTATCATCGCCAGCCCAAAGGTGGGGAAACTGAGCCACGGGGAAATTAAAGATCTGGAAACTGAGACAGGGACACAGACTTGCTCTGGGTCACTGCTGAGCTGCAGAACGAGGACCTGAGCTGGGGTTTTAAATTTTCGGAATCTCTGTATCCCCTCCAGTGCGCAGTGGGTGTGGCACACAACGGTGTCCTCCAAGCTCTCTGCCCCTGCTCCCCCATTTGAGACCCATTCAGGCCCTGACGCACCCCTAGTCTGTCGCTTCGGTAGCTGAACCTTATTCCTTCACTCGAGGTGGTCCTGGCAGAAGGGGGCCCTCCGGAGGTTGTTGGGGAAATTACACGTGAGGCCCAAGGGCAGCTGTCTGGCTGGAAAAAAAAAAAAAAGAAAGAAATGGGATTTGGGTCGACAGACGTTGGTCCCCAAAGCCACGTGGGTGCACCGGGAAACGCCCAAGTAGAGAGAGGGGCTGAGTTCGGCTCAGCATCTCCTGCCAGGCCGGGCCAACGTGAGATGGTCCTCAAGGGCCACCTCAGGGGGACATGGGGTCTGCGCTTGTTAGAGCTGGAAAATGAGGTAGATGGGAGGTCCTCACCCGGATCCCTCTGCCAGCCAGGACTTTTTCCCATTACAGCCTAGTTTCAGAGAATGTGGAGCTCTTCAGAGCTGTGGGGTGTCCGCTTCACCCTCTGACCGTGAGCTGGTGAGAATGGAGTGACTGGTAGATAGCCTCTTGGGCGCAACTGTAGGCTGAGCAGCTCTCCCCCCAACTAGGGCCCTTGTGAGAGTCCAAGGAAAGGCCCATGACCCCAGCTGGAAGTAGACTGAGACTGCCTGGCCTGGGCCCCCGCTGTAGAGGCAAAGCCCCTGTTCCCGCTTCCCCTTCCCTCCTCACACCAACCTGCCCTCAGAAAAAGGCCAGGTCTTGGCTTGCTGTGCCCCAGGTTGCTCTGCCCAGCTCCGTGCTGTTCCCCTGCCAGGAATGTTCCCTCTCTGCCATCATAGCCTCACTCAAATATCCCTTCCTCCAAAAGGCCCTCCGGAGCCTCCAGGCCAGATGCCTCTCATTCCTCTGGGGGCTGTGGCTTCCTATCTGCCTTTCCCTTTTGGTCAACCCGGTGCTCAGCACAGAACACATCCTGAGGCTCAGTGCCTTCATCCCCAGGGTCCTGTGCTCCCAGCTCCCTATCCCAGGCAAGTACTGATGCATCTTAGGGTCCCTTTCCCCACATCCCAGCTGACCCAGACACCCCAGCTCCAGCCCCAGGTCTGACACAGAGTGGGTTCTCTGTGTTTGTTTTATGATGGCGGGATCCTTGCACCTCGTGTGCTCTGTTCCTGGCTGTGTGACCTTGGGAAGCTGCATACCCTCTCTGAACCTTACTCCCAGGCGTTGGCCTGTCCATTTCCCAGGGCCGTTTGGAGGATCAAATGAATGAAGGCAGGGAAGGCACCTGAGCATAGCTCCCCACACAGCTGTCATTATCACTAGCTCATCATTACATACCTCTCCTGTGCCAGAGGCTGGGACTCCAAGGCTGGGCGGCAGGCGGGCAGCGGGGTGATGAACTCAGAAGCAGCCACAGCCCCTGGCTGACTCAGGCTGAGGAGATCCCAGGAAAAGAGGTTGCTTTATACTTAGCCTGAGGCACCAGGCTCTGCTTTCTCCTTCCCACTCCCAAGTTCATCCAAAAGGAGGTCACTAGGCCTTCCCAGCCCACTCAGAGCTTCAAATCAAGGGAGATAAAGGACCCTCCCTTTGGGGGTCCACTCATCTGGCTGCTGCACGACCTTGGTGACCCGCATCTTCCCTGAACCAGCCTGGGTGAGCTGGATGGGGGTAGACAGTGGCCTTGCAAGGATGCCTGGCTCGGTGTGGGGTGGGGGAACCCACTGCAGCTGAGCCCCACTCTTTATTCTCAGTAACTGGCCCGCTGTGTGGTGGCTGCTGTGCAGCACTGCGTCCCTCCCCAAGAGCCTGAGGGTATTATTTTTATTTGACACCCTGGGAAACTGAGGGCTAGAGATCAGAAGATTCTCCCCCAAGGCCACGCAGCCAATAGCCAGTCTGTGGCCCATGCAGTCAAGGCCAGTCCGCTACAGCCGTCCATTTTCCAGGGGGCTCCTGGCTGGTGATGAATGGTAGCTGTCCCCCTCCTCCACTTACCTCTGCCCAGCACCAGCTGGGTGTCAGGGCTTAGACGAGAATCATCAGCTACAAAACCCTCACATAGATTCATAGGGCAGAAAGGAAGCTAAGCTCAGAGAGCTGGTTTGCCTGCCCCCATCACACGGCATAGGAGTAATGTGAGATTTTTATCCTCACATCTCTGCTCTTTCTCCTGTCCCACCCAGCTGCCTCCTCTGTTGGGGAGAGATTACAGAGGCCAGGCCTCAGGAGCCCAAAGGGAGGCCATCTTGCCTCATAGACCCCTGGATCTGGTGGTCAAGAAGGGGTGCGCTGGTCCTGCCTGTGCCCACCAGGCCGGCCTGGGCCCGTAGCTCCTTGCCAGGCCCAGAAGAAAGTGTGAGGTCACTGGACCAAGCCAGCTCCCCGTCTGATCTTGCCGCCGTGACTCAGCCTTGCTTTGCCAAACCTCCCCTTCCTGGGGGACCCCGACAATGGCCTGGGCTGCCCTGCTGCCCGTTCGTCACTTAGGGCCTCCCTCCCTGAGTCACATGCAACTCCCCACCCAGCATGTTCATGAACAGCCTCCTCCTCTACATGATGCTCCTGAGGTTCCCTCTGCTAACAGCCCAAGGCCAGGCTGAGGGATGGGGGGCTTCTCCTGCTGTCCCCAGAATCAGGTCCCAAGGCCAATCCCCTGGACTTGGTTTTGAGAGGCTCTCACCTTGACAGCAAACTCCAAACTGAGCTTGAGAGCACAAGTCAAGAGCTCTGGCTGATCTGGATTCAAATCCCAGATTCTCCCATACCAGATGGGTGACTTCGAGCAAGATACTGTTTCCTCATCTGGACAACAGGGATTAAGGAATAAGCTGCAGCCCGTGAGGATTCCAGGTGGGATCACAGGTGGTGGGAGAGTGGCTAAGAGGGCCGACCCAGATTCAAATGAATGAGCCATTTCACCTCTCAGCCTCAGGATCTCACCTGTACGTGGGAATCATAATGCATGACTTCTGCTGTAATGAGTAAATTGGGGGGGGGGTCCCACATGCTGGACACGTGGAAAGTGCTCAGTGAACAGGAGCTGTGATTAAACCTGCAGGTACTGGGCACATTGTGGGCCAGTGAAGATGGGGAGATGGAGAGTACATGGTCTGTCTGGTTCCTCCATTGCTCTATGATGGTTCCAGGCACTGTGGAGCACTCTCTGCTGGTCGAGCACTGAACTTCCCCAGGTGGAGGCAAAAGACTCTGTGCAGAGGTCTTTCTGGGCCTCCATTGGCCCTGACTTTGCAAGGCACTTAGCGCCCCTCACACCAAAGCAGATACTCAGACAGGACAAGGGCCTTGTCTGTAGCTGAATGCCTCCCTGGCCCCAGGATATCCTCACTCCCCAGACTTGGAGAGGGGAGGCTCTCTGGGCAACTCACAGCACTTGCCTGCCCACTAAAGGTTTGGGGAAACCCCACAGATACCTGGTTTCCCAACTCCCTAGCAACAGAGTTGACTCGCACCTGCTACCCATGTTTTCCTTGGAACACAGACCAGAAATGCAGAGCTGCCGGGCCTTCAGCCATGAATCCTTTGTCTGTGTTGCCCCACGATGCTCAAAGCAGAGCTCCCCAAACTGAGACACTCATGGGACAGCTGCAGAAGAGTGGCCCCGGGAAGTGAATTTCAATGACCTCCCCGTTCATAGGTATGGAGCACATGGTTCAGAAAAGGAGAGAGGGGTTGGGGGAGGTTGTGTGGGTGATAAAGGGCAGGAAGACTGGTGCAGCACCAACTCTGGAACCATACAGGCTTGGTTAAACCCCCAACACGCTGGGACAGGCTCCTCGACCTCTCAGAATCTGGAAGGGGACAAATAACTATAGCTATACCTTGGGTATTATTGCTGTAAAGATTCAGCGAGAACAAGATGATCGCTGTGTTCTGTCATTAGGTATAATCAGTAAGGACACCGATCAAGCTCTCCCGCATGGACTCCTCACCAGGGACACGTTGCCATGATGGTAGGCACCTTATAGAGGGGGAAATTGGGATGTGAAGAAAGAGGAAAAGGCATGTGCAACGAGAAGTGGGCCCAGAATCCAAGTCCAGCTTGGCCAAAATGAGAGCCTTCAGCCACCAGCTTGTCCTCAAGAAGCCACAAGATAAGGCTTGGCCAGTAGTGGCTGTGAATGAGATGCGTGTGGGTGCTGAGAAGAGGGTACATCTCCTGTCTTGCCTGCAGTTAGGGATGCTTCCTGGGGGAGGTGCTATTTGTGACTGAAGGATAAGCAGGATAAATCAAGTAGGAACAGAAAGGATGGGAAGCCTCCCGTGCACAGAGGCATGAAGACAAAGAAGACAGCTCTGTATTCAGGGATGGCAGCCCTATCGTCTGGTGGGGCTAAAGCCTTCAGTACCCAGACCAGCACTGAGGGGATAATAGCACTGAGCAAAGATAGCTCAGGCCCAGATCCCAAGCAGGCTCAATGTTAGTGTGGGCATTTAGGCTTGATGAGACACTTCACCCAGATTCCAGGCTGTGTCTTGACCACTGAGTTCCAGCCAGAGCCTGGTTTTTAGAGGAAAACAGCTCACAAATCTCAATGGGTTTGTTGTCCAGTGTGACACTGTGTAGTGTGCCAAAGCAAATGTGGGTGACTGAAGCCAGCCAGGGTGACTGCTTGCCTGGAAAAACTGAACAGGGGAGAGACCACTCATGGGGCTCTGGTCCATGGTATGAAGATGGCACAACTCCAGTAACACCCGATGGAGAGAGAAAGAGAGAGGGAGAAACACACTACTCCCTTCGGGAGTGCATCCACATCATGAGGCCCACATGCATTCATTCCACCACAGCCCACAGCAAGGAAGGAGGACTTGGACTGGCTGAAAGAGCCTTCCTGCACCAAAACTTCCATTGGCTCTGCCCCAAAGCTTCCTAGCAGCTGTCCAGTGGGATTTTCCCCCTTAGACACTTTTGACAGATGTGGCTTCTGACGCTCAGGAAGGTTCAGCTACGTTGTACTCTTGGACCCACGGCTGGTGAACAACAGAATCAGACTGGCCCACCCAACTCTGCTCGACCTCTGGCCTGCCTCCATTCTGGGCCCTCATCTGTACCATGTTGAGGGGTGTGGGGGGATTCAAGCCTGAGTCACCAGGGCTTTGAAGCTAGCAGTCTCAGAGGTTCCAGAGGTGGACTGGTGACTGACTCACCCCCACACCCTGAACCTGCCCCAGGCAGTGGCTTCAACTCTTGACTGCCCCACCTGTCAGAGTCCAGCTGTGTTTCTCCTGGGTTGCTTATGGCTCAAAATTCCCAAGAACTGGGCAGAAAGGCCAAGGCCCCCAGGCAAGGAGGTATCCCAGGCACACCTCTTCACAGGAATGCTTAAAATCATAATGGGATCTCCAGCTTTGCCTGTCTGCTGGGCACCAAGTTCTCCTGATGATGCACTAAGCACTTATTTTTAGCTGACATGGAATTCTAGAATGAATTCCTGGTGGTTCACTCCTTCCCAGAGGGTAAAGGTGGCCTCCTAGTGGGGCTCTGGGTGCACTTTGGAAAACATGGGTTCTAGGCAGCAGAGTACGCGTGGCTCTGAAAAATACTGCATGTCTTGGCTGGTGGTGGTGGTAGGATGGAGGGGAAGACTAGGATTCCAGCCCCTCTGAGTACAGGGGTCTAGTACAGAGATCACTCAGAGAAGAGTCCAGAACCCTGGATTTCTAGGATCCAGGCCTAGCAGGGGGACGTCTACTGGCTATTGCTTTTCCTCAAACCTCGGTTTCCTCGCCTGTGTATAGGGCCAAGGGCTTTCCATTTCTGGATTCTTATATACGATATTTTTCTTAAAGATTATTTCAGATCTTCACTACCTTTAAAGATGATATCAGACAAGAAAAAGAACCTAGACCCCCCTCAATAGAAGGAGTACCTATGCCAAGACACAGGCTTTGAAAAGAAGAAGCCATTTTGCTGTACTCTACTTCTCCCCTGCCTTTGACATGGACCATGTGCCCAGGCCCTGGACCGGATATCCCAGAGAAGACCATGTGTCAATGAACTCATCATCTGGTGGAGGGGTAGACCTTTCCCTGGGAAATAACCAGACAATTTCTCCAGGAAAAGCATAACTTGCCAGGCAAAGGCCTTCAAGCTTTGACCCTTCTAAGCTCTCCCATCTCATCTCTCATGAAGAAGGATGGATGGATCACAGGCTGGTTAGGTAGCCATATGGATGGGAGGGTGCATGAAAGGTTAGATAACAGGCAGATAGAGGACAGATGGTAGACAGATGAAGAATGATTGGATAGACAGGCTGTAAAGCTGTGGGTCCCATGGTACATGATTATAAGTGGAAAAGTCATAGTACTGCCTTGTGTATCATTTTGTACCTAAGATGAATCCTTTGAGGCTTCATCTATAGTGAGAATCATGGTCCCAGCCTCTAGGTCTGTTTTGGCATCCAGTGAAATAAGATTAGACTGCCATTTCCTGTGTAAGGGTTATTTATGGCCAAACTTCAGCCAGCTAGTGGCCTGTTGGGCAGGGATCATATGCTGTGTTTTGGGGTCAGGGACACAGATAGGAGACTTGACTCTGCTTCTGGGCTCCCCAACTTACCAAAAGTCTATGGGACTCTGCCTGGTTCAAGCAGGAAGGTGTCCTTGGAGAAAAGCTGCTAGAGAGGACTCACCAAAGGCTGAGGAGACAGGAAAGCACACTAGAAACACACAGGGTTCAGGCCTGCTTTCTAACCTTGGTTCGGCCGCTTCCTGGCTGTCTGACTATGGGCAAGTCTCTTATCTCTGAAACTCAGCTCCCTCATTTATAAAATTGGGACTAGTTATAGTACCTATATTGTGGATATGTTGTGATACTTAATAGAGCTAATGATGTATGTAAATCACCCAGAACAGGGCTTGGGATATACTGAGTACAATACTCAGTAAATCTCCACCTACCCTATATTCCTAACTGTCTAAGTGAAGATTCAGGCCCTTAGTAGCAAGACAGACCTCAAAAACTTGGAGTCCAGAAATTTCCATCCAAAATCCTGAGTCTCTAAGTTGATTTTCCTATTTCAAAATGTCCAAGACTCACATGGCCACTTGACCTGGGTGCTTTGATTGTACAACATCTGTTTGGAATTTAGAATTTTAGAATTCCAACATTTCTATGGGCCTCGATGACCCCGTTCCGATTATTCTTAGATTAATAACAAGCAAAGCACATGTATTTCTTTAAAGTACAATTTATTCAGAAAATATAAATCTTCCCAAACGGGCTGAGGTGGAGGAAGGGGGAGAACCAACACGGGGTGTCCTTCAAAGAGGCCATGAGCATCAGGGGAGCCGAAGTCCCACAGGGTTGAGGCTGCCCTTGTGGAGATTCAGCGTGAGGGCGATAGTGTGGGTGGTGGCAGGCCTTGTGGGCTCAGGGTGAGCTGTGGCCGATGGCAAGAGGCCCAGACCACCCACCAGAAAGAGGCTGAGTGGTCCCTAGGCACAAGGAGGAGCAGCCCAACCTGTGACCTTGGGGACGAGCAGTGATGGAACATCGGACACCCCCCTCCAAGTCCCTAAGCCCCCAGCCTAGGCTGACTCCAGGGTCAGCACCTTCCTACTCTGTCACTGCCCGCTGGCGCCTGACATCTCTTCCTGCTCCTTCCTCTGCTAAGTCATTGGCATGGTATGTGCCTACACTCAAAACACTGTGTCCCTTCCATCAGTGCTACAACCAAAACTTCCTGAAAGCTGGTAGGGCTAGGAACCAATGGAGAACTGACTAGTTTTCAGAGGTGAAAGAGCAGAAGACCCCAAGCTAAGAGCAAAAGCCATTCAGCCTCCATCTGCAGAGCTCCCAACTAGGTCAGCTGCGTTCAAATGCCACAGGCAGAACTGAAATCACCTCTTGCCATCAGTGACAGCCAGATGACTGAGGCCAGGGAAAGGACAGGACTGGCCCAGGGCCACACATGACAGCAGTAGAGGTGGGACTATGCACCCTGGTCCAGCACCTCACCTGCAGCACCAGGCAACTGCACAGTGTTCATGGCTGGTGGACAGCTGCTTGATGGTACCGTCTTTCCCCTTAGTGCACGGATCACAAAGGGAGCTTTGGGGTACACAGGGAGACAGCTCAGGCTCATGCCAATGCCCTTAGCCTTTCTGCAGTGGGGTCCCTCTGATATCTTTTACCAAAGGGATCCAGGATCCCAGTCACAATTGGGCCCTGGGAGAGTCTCGGGGTATAGAAAGGGTGGAGCTAGATTAGGAACTGAGAGAAAATGTCCAGCCCCATTTCTGTCTTGAGAAAGCCATGCCTCCTCTAGGACCCTGGTTATCTTATCTGCCACATGGGAGTGAAAACCAGAAGGGACTTCTACAGGGAAGTTCCTAGTGTTGTACCCAGAAACACACCTGAGCTGCCCTCTTCTGCCACCTTTTACTCCCCATCAATTTCTCTTTATCAAACTGGGCTGGTGCCAAGCACACGAGTCCTCATTTGTGTGCAAAACAGTTCCTTTCAAATTCTGACAGATTCTGACAGGCTGACTTTCAGTGATTCCATGCCCTCCCTGCAGCCTTTAGAAACCCAGGCAGGTAATAGGGCCAGGTTGGGTTAGGGTGCAGCAGGGTAGGCACCTGGGCAGGTTAGTTGAGGCTGGAGCAGTGGGTTCAGGAGGCTAGGCCCGCTAGCTAGGGCAGGGACATGCAGCCAGGCCACCTAGAAGGAGCAGGGAGAGCAGACCAGATCAACCAGGAGGGGCCGGGTGACTGTCAGGGCCCAAGCTAAGAGATCCAGGGAACTGGGACTGGCTATTTTTAACTCAGCTTAATTTTCTCTACCTGGAAACCAACAGTGGGGTAGCACTGTTCCAGGAAAGGCTTCGCCCCTGAGACCCTGCTTGCTCACGTTCCTGGGGCCGGCCTCTCCATTTCACAGGAGCCCTCCTTGCCCAGCTGGAGCCCAGTGTGGGGAAAGATGGATGGAAACCGGAGCTGGGCTCTGTGTGCAGCGCCTGTGCTGACCCTGGGAGGCCCGGGCAGCAGCCTCTGCCCTGTCGTCATCCTCCTTTCACACCAGGTAGGGATCCTGTCTCTGGTCCCTTTAATTCTTCTATTATGTTCCCCAGACTCACAGCCTCTGGTTCCCTATTGTCCCAGGCAGGCGTTTTGCATTTGTGTAAAGATTAGACACGTTAGAACCTTGCCTCTGACTCCCTATGGTCTGTCTCTTTTACTTTCTCAAATCCAACTTCTTTCTTACTCGCTAGCCACGCTCTGCTTCCTTGTTCTGCAGCTCTCCCTACCTGTCTTTATCTGCCTCCCTGTTTGTTTTCCTCTACTCCCTGATCCCCTCCTATTCTCCAGGCAGTGCTTTAGCGTCTTTCTCCTCTTTCCAGCTCAATAGTTTGTGCCCCACCCCACCCCGCATCCCCAGCTCTGCTTAAGTCTGTGTTCATATTCTCCCCAGAGGCTAATAGAAATGACTGGGAGCCTTGCTCACCTCATTCCAGAAGTGTTCTTCTGAATGCTTAGAGAGGCCTGCTGTGGGAGAGGACAGTGTGCCCCACATGGGAGTCACTTGCAATTTACTTGAGGGACCAAGGTCTGGGCTCTGAGGGCAGCTCAGCCATGTGCCAGCTGCATGGTGAGGTGAATCTGCCCCTCTGTGAGCCTCCTCTGGGGCAGTCATGACTGACACCAGATGGCAACAGCTGCCTTCTGGATGGCTGTGAGGAGGAGTAGAAAGTGCTCCAAGCACACAGTAGGTGCTCATTAAATGTTTATTCTCATTTCGCCTGTGTCTGGCCACATCCTGGGGAAGAGGAGGATGCAGACAAGCCTAATCTTCTGCTTTGGCCCACTTTACCAGGCTCCCACACATGTGTGCGCTTGGGTGCACCCTGAGAAGAAGCAAGATTGCCTATCCCTTGTAGTCAGCTATTTTCCGTCATGAATATCTACTACGAAAACTAAAAATGCTGAGCATAGGAAGGAAAAACTGGGTGCCTGGGCCACACCATTAAAGGCAGGCCTGCTGTGCTTCCTTCCCCTCCCTCAGGAAGCACCGACCGCCTCCTACTGTGTGTGGGAGCACAGTGGGCCTTAAGAGTGCCAGGAGACGTCAGGCAGCCCTGGGAATTCTGAGAAATGAGAGGGCCTCTCCAAAGAGCCCAGAGATGAAGTCCGAAAGCAAACACCTCGGAGACGGACTCTGAACCAGGCCTGCGCAGGGTGCTCTGCTCAGCACAGTGCATCCTTGCTCTTACCTCCAGCAAAGCTTCTGGACCAACACGGTGACCGGGACCAGAATGCCAGTCCCCAGGAAGTGCCCTCCCCTGCCTCGATTCTGGTTACCCCACTCCCCCTTTTGCATGAAGTAGCCACTGAGGTGAGCCAAGGTGTCCCGTCCTGTCCCAAATGGAAGACCCACAGGAGCATCTTTCTGGAAAGGACTTTGGAGCCTCCTTCTTTGTCTCAGTGGAGCCTGGGAGCCTCAGAGAGCAGGAAACAGCTTCTTTCGGCCTGTTTTACAGATAAGGAAACTGAGGTCCAGGCTGGACAACAGCTGTATAGCTGAAGAGCTTCCAGAAGAGACCAGAACCCCTGTTCTGGTTCCTGAGGGGGTGGGAGAGGAAGGGGTGGGCAGCACTTCCTGGGTGAGGACTGGATGAGACAACCCCAGGCTGGTCAGAGGTCAGGTGTGAGCTGTGTCCTTCACTGAGGGAAGCAGGCCCAGAGAGGGCTCTGATTCGCCCAAGGCCACACAGCCTTGAATGGGCCTCGCCACCCACACAGCAGAGGGTCATCCTCAGCCTGGCTGCCAGGGAGCAGGCAGGATGGGTCTCCGAGAAGGAGACCGCCCCCTCAAACTCAGCTCTTGGTAAGGCCTGTGGAGCAGTACCAGGAGAGTGGACATGGGGCTTGGGATACTTTGGGGTGACTTAGGGAAGTCCAGCAGGGATGGAAGGGGACCTTGGGGGATGCAGAAGAACCTCGGGACTCCCTGAGGTGCTCCCGGCACAGAGGGAGGAGCAAAGCCTTCCACCTTCCCCCTCCCCACAGAGTCTAGGGCGGGTCAGGCAAACGGGGAGGAGGAGGCGGTGTCCCTGGCTCTGGGCCCAAGGTGCAGCCTGCGGGCGGGGTGGACCAGCAGGGGCGGGGCACAGTGCCTGGTGTTATAAGAGGCAGCCAGGGCACAGAGGCAATGAGCTACCAGCTCGGCTTAGCAGCAGGACGCTGGCAACAGGCCCTCTCTGCTCCATTCCAGCACCTCACTCTGCCCCTGCTATGGTCTCCATGCTCACAGCCTGGTGCTCCGTCGCTGTAGCTCTGCTCGTGGTCCTTCATGAAGGTGAGCTGCCCTGGCCTCACCTGCTGCTGCAGGGCCCGGGTCCGTCCGTCAGTATCTCCCTAGAGTCCACTGAGGAGCACCAACAGGAGCTGGTGTGGCCGCGGCGGGTGCTCTGCAGATGCGCAGGCACCAGAGACTCACAGCAGCCACCAGCCCTTCCCATGGGGCTGCAGGGCTTCCCCAGGGCTGGCCCAGAGCTCCTGAGCAGTGAGAGTGCCAACTTCCTGGATCCCGCAGGAGGAGGAGCCTGGTGGGTCCCCTACCCATGACCAGCTGGAGGCCCTGATCATCTCTCCGCCTCTCTCTCCTTCCTGTGCATGCAGGGAAGGGCCAGGCTGCCTCTACCCTGAAGCCACCGGGGCTTTCACCCAGGGCCCAAGGCACCCACCTGAGGCTTCGTCGTTGCTCCTGCAGCTCCTGGCTTGACAAAGAGTGCGTCTACTTCTGCCACCTGGACATCATCTGGGTGAACACTCCAGGGTGAGCATCCATGCGGATCCAGAAGGAAGCTACAGGGTGGGGACAGTGTGAGGGCTGCTGGCATCCTGGAGAACCTCTGGCCCAATCCACCTTTCCCTGGGCCTGCAGATGGAGACATTGGGCTGATAGCAGTAGTGATTGGATATTGCTTCAACTCTCACTTGGGAGCTGCCAGAGCCCGTTAGAGGGCTGTCTCCTGTGACTCTTCACAGTGGCCTGCTAAGAAAGTATTGGCTCCACTTTCCAGATCAGGGTACTGAGGCTCAGAGCCGTTAGGTGGCTTCCCCAAGTTTGATCACGCAGGAAAACGGTTGGGTCCATCCCGGGTCAGGATGTCAGGACACATGCCTGCTGGGCCGGGTGCCTCTGAAGACTGATGCAGTTAATGGCAGGACCCATGTCTTCACTGTGCCAAGCCCCGTGACAAGTGCTGCATGTGCAGTATCATCCCCTGAGCCCCCAGCCTCCCCATGAAGCAGGTCGTCCCCAAGTGACTGAGGAGAAGCCTGCCCTGGGTTACCTGACTGAGCCCTGGCAGGAGCCAGGTGCTGTCTGCTCTGCCTGCACCCGTGCTGCCTCTGGGCCTCTGCATACTTCAAACTGAGTGTGTGTGTGTGTGTGTGTGTGTGTGTGTGTGTGTGTGTGTGTGTGTGCTTTCCTTCCCCAAATTGCGTAAGTCAAGAGAAAGCCAGCACGTAAGCATGTGTGGAGCTAATCTGCATCCAAACACTCTCAGGGTGGGAACCCTGCCAGTCCCTGCGTGCTGCGTCTACCTGGAGTCGTCACAGCTCCTCTGCACCATCTAAAATTAGCTCTGTCACTCAAGGTGCTGGTCTGACCTGCCTCGGGGACCTTGCCTTGTCTCTGGCTATCTTGGTCAGATTGAATCTGAAATGAATCACACACACGCACACACACGCATGCACACACACACACACACACACACACACACACACACACTTTACCATTTTTTGGTTAGAGCTCTAAAGCATATTGGTCACTCCTCCAGGCAAGCAGTGACCAGGTAGGGCAGCTCTGCTGTAAGCCTATGTGGTCACTTCTGTGAGATGGAGGCTCTTCCCTTCCTCCAGCCTTTTTGAGAACAAGGGGACCATCAGGCTCCATGCCCTGGAGTTCCTATCTGGGAGGGGATGGGACTGAGAGGACTTCCCAGTTCCTGGCTATGGGTGGGACCACAAATCCTGCCCCTTCCTCACCATGCTGGAGCTGTCCCTGCTGAGAGAGAGCGCCCAGAGGCCAGGGAGGAGCAGGGGGTGTCCAGGACTACCTAGGCACCTGTGGAGAGACTTTTGACTTCAGTGGTGGGACTTCTTGAGGTCAGAGGCTGGTCACCATTTATTGACATCCTGGTGACAAGATTAGCTATCTCAGTGTGCAGTGCGGATAGTCCCTGCTCACCAATGGTGATGGTTTATCTAATTCCCTCTCTCTCTCTCTCTCTCTCTCTCTCTCTCTCTCTCTCTCTCTCTCTCTTTCTCTCTCTCTCTTTCTCTTCCTGCCCCACTACCTTGCTGGCTGCCCCGCCCACAGACAGATAGCTCCATACGGCCTGGGAAAGCCGCCAAGACGCCGGCGCCGCTCCCTGCCAAAGCGCTGTGAATGCTCCAGCTCCAGCGATCATGTCTGTGCCACCTTCTGCCATCGAAGACCCTGGTATGTGGACACCCAGTTTGTAGGGGGAGGAGGGGCTGTTGGTCCATGCCTGTCCTGGGAGCAGTGTGTCTGGGAGGCCCGTAGAGGAGCTAGTTAGAAGCAAGCAGGATCCTGAGGCCCACAGGCAGCTCTGGGAACATGGGCAGTGTTCCTACCTAAGGGACCTGTCATCCCTGAGTGCCTCCCTCCGCCAGCTCTGGGACTCCCGAGGGCACACGTGTCCTCAGCCCTGGGCAGGATGGATGCTCCCTGCTAGGTGAAAGCTGAGGCAGGTCAGACCCAGGCAGGGGAGGGCTTTGGGTTCCAATTGGAGTCTTGGGGACTTCAGAGCATGCTCAGAGGAAGAATCACTTGTGGAGTTGGGAACCCGTGACACCATCCTGGGGTAAGGACAGGGGAGCTTTGCCAAGTCTCCTCACCTTCCTGGGCCTCTAATTTCCCATCTGTGAAAGGGGTGGAGATTTTGTTCCTTTCCTCCTTCACTTGGACTTAGTGGGAAAGCTGGAACTGGTTTCTCAAATCCCAAACTGCAGTTCCTATGCTCATTTACTAGAAACTCCTCCTCCTCTGGGGCTCATGCTGTGGCTCCGCTCTTGCCTCAGTTTCCCCTGCAGCTGCAGGTGGTTGGATTCTGGGAAGACCAGCCACCTAGCTGCCTCTTTTGGAGGCTAAGAACATATTCCCGGTAGCTCAATTTTCCCGTCCCCTCCCTCCCTGGGAAAGGAAGGATGCCAGGTGCACAGGGGTGAAATGGATCTGCTCCCAAGGGCGGGTGGGGTAGGGTAGGGGCCGGGCCGGGCCTGCAGCCAGGTGGCTTCAGGTCCCTGGACAGCCCCTTACTTGGGTCCTATTGCCATTTATTCAGGGCCAAAGCTGTGACAGTCCCAAGCAATCAGTCCCCCTCAGACGTGTTCCAGACTGGCAAGACATGGGCCACAGAAGGAGCCCTCCTCCAGAGGCTGAGGTGAGAGGCGCTGTACTGACTGAGCACTTCCTGTATATCTTGCATGTGCTCCTTATTAGCACTGGGTCTTCACTATCTTTCCAAGACAGCAGAGGCTCAGAGAGGCAAAGCCACTTACCCAAAGTCATACAGCATTAATGGCATCTGACTGACTCCAGAGTCTATGCTCTTAACCACTGTACTCTTACTTAGCTCTAGGCCTATGAGTGTGCTGTTTTAGAGGGCTTAAAGGACAGACCACAGTTGTTTGCTCAGGCTCTTCTGAATCCAAGCATCTGCCGTGAGCTGGGGCTCACAGGGGCCAACTGTCCAGCCTGCTCCCACCTTCCTGCCCAGACTGGATCTCCTTCCTGGTGGCCTTCGTGTGGCTCAGCTCAAGGCTTGGCATAGAAGATGCCTATAGATGTTTGTCCAACCAGTCTTAAGAACAGAAGCCCCAGCCTGGCCCTGCGGCAGAGTGGCCCAGGGTGCAGCTTTGGGAGCTGGAACGGACTGATTTGAACCCAGCCCTGCTGCAGATAAGCTTTGCGACTTCTGGCTATGCTTCAGGACCCTATTCTGAAACAGGGACATAGCAACACTGGTCCCAAGAGCTTGCCGTGAGGTCAGATACATTGAAGGGCGTAAAGAGTGCTAAGCAGGGCCCAGCACCCTGAGGGCTCCAGAAGTCTTCGCCGTCCTGCTTCTGCCACTAGGGGCTCCTTAGAGCTGGACAGTGCTAGGGCCCAGTGCGACCCCTCAGGGGTTCCTTGTCTTGAAGAGGAGGCAGAACAAGGGAAGAAAGGCGGGATAGTGGGATGGGCAGGATGAGGAGTATGTGAAGAACTGTCTGAGGACGAGAGGCCAGGATAACACTTCACAGGTGCACAGCACTTCAGAGCGTGCAGAGCTGGCTGCGCCGGCTGTGTACTCGTCTGCACTGCAGTTCAGGCCCGCTTTGCATCTCGAGGGCCGAGAGGGGCTCTCAGAGAGGTTGGGCCCCTTGCCTATGTTCCCATAGCTAGAGACCAATGCCAGCCTTTTAGCTCCAGCCCTGGAGCCTTCTACCCTGGAAGGGAACACTTGGGTACGACCAGGGTCATGGCCACAACCTCAGCTGGGTTCAGTGTGTCTGGGCTGGGCCACCTTGAGGACTGGGCAGTGTGCGAGCAGATATAGTCTGCTGGGGGGAGACGGACAGCAGGGATGGAAGATGTGTGCCAGGTGTGAAGAGGAAGGGCAGACGGTGGGCGACACTGGGGCTGTCTTGGCTGTCTGGTCATTCCGGAAGCTTTTGGCATTAAACATCAGCTTTGTCAAAGCTCCCCTGGGAAGCTTCTAGGCCTGGGCTGCTCTGCCCTTGACATACACATTTCAGGATGTGGCCACTCTCTCTCCAGGACAGTCCTAGTCCCCATCAGAGCTCCCAAACTATTATCTCCTAAGATGCTCAGTTGACCCTTTTCCATCTCCAGAGACATTTCTGCTGCCAAGATCCGCTTTGCCAGGCGACAGCAGGAGGCGACAAGGGAGCCCAAGCCTGCTCATTCCAGGTGGAAAAAGAGATAGTGCTGAGAGCTGCAGGAGTACTAAGAAGCCCACCTACCTTGAGACAGAGGAGATGCGCCGCTCATGGGAGACCCTCCACCTGTCTCCTGGCCCAGCTACCCAGACCTGTTTTCTGTGGTTGGCGCAAGCTCTGGCCTCCCATCCTGGTGGAGGGAGCCTTGTTCAAGGCAGCTCCGTGCTGTCACACTGCCTAGGATAGCTCTCGGTTCTCCGGTGGCAGAGCAACCCCTGGTGCTACTACAAGAAAGAACTGCGTGGAACAATTGTGAACTTGGAGGCCCTGTCCTGAGGCTGTCCTGTCTGTTGGGCTACGATCCAGGAGGTGCCACACAGCAGGAAATGCTCACATCTAAGCCAGTCCTGGAGACAGGATAGCCCGGGCATCCTGGCTGGTCCCCAGCTGCCCTCTCTAGCTGCCCCTTCCTAGAGTTCTTGTGCCTTCCTGACCTTGGGACCCTGCGTGAGAAGAGCCTGTTCTGTTTCACACATCTGCAAATAACTTATTTGCTCTAAGAACTTTGAGAATCTCAATTATTATTTTAATGTATTTTTTTAGATTCTCCATTATTTACCTGAGCATGTATTTGTAATAAACAGAGAAATGGTACCTGGTATTTTGTCTGGGCTGAACAGAGTGGGAAGGCTCCTCTCAGAAAAGGACCCCTGGGAAGTTAGAAGGTCACCGGAAGGGGAGGAAGAGGCCCAGGGTTGGTGGCTGGAGCCCCAGGTTTCACTCTCCCCCTTGCTGGGCTTCGTTGGCTGCCAACCTGTCCTCTCTGGGCTTTTGCCTACCATGTGCTTATGCAACCATTACAGCTATGATATCAAGATTCTGGGATCTATGTTCCCACCAGGCTGCAAACCAATGGCCAGTCCTCTCCCAAGAGCACATTTGGAAAAAGCTGAGACTTCAGAGGCGTAGAGGACCAGTTCTTAGCTGCCCTGTCCCCTGCCTGCCAGGGCTGTCTGAAAGACCCAGAGCCAGTCTTTCCCATGAGGGAGAGGACCAAAGCTGTGTGTACTCCTAATGGTCAGTGATAGGTTCCTGGTGGAGCCACAGTCTGGCCTTGGCTCTGGCCCTGGCACTGCCCTTCACCTTAGGCATTGGGCTGGACCCTGCTGGAGTTTGACGCTTCTTAGATTCCAGAAGCCCAGGGTGCTAGCACTGGGGTCACAAGTTCTGCTACAACCCAAGACACAGCTCATCTGGGTCCCAGGGCCAACTTGCTGCCAGGACCACTCTGATGGCAGTTGCTTCAGTCCACAGCCCCCATTCCCAACCAGCCCCTGTGAGCAGGCCATGCTTGGAACAGGGTGGCCTGTTCCAAGGGGCAAGCCATGACTTGAGCCAGAACTTGGGAAGGATTTATGGACTAAGCAATAATTATTTACATACTCCTCTTACCCTGCTTTGTCCATAAAACCAGTCCCGGAAGAAAAACACGTTAACGTGTGTTGAACTCCTACTATACTTTGTGCTGTGTACTTTATCCAGATTAACTCATTCTATCCTCACAATGATCCTGTGGCACAGGTGCTTTTATCACATTTTACAGATGAGGAAAATGATGCACAGAAGAGGAAAGTGAATTTCCTCAGGCTACACAGCGAGTAAGTGATAGTCTCAGCACTGGAACCCAGGTCTTCTGGCTCCAAAATCTGCAATGTTTGTGCATCATAAATATTTATTCATTGAATTTATAGAGCATCACTGTAGTTTGTCCTTCAGTGAATCTCTTTCTTTTCTCAGCCTCAATTTTTTTCACCTAGAAAATGGGAAGCAACTCACAGGGCTGGTGCAATCACCAAGTTTCTGAGCCTGAAAAGAAGCATAGGCTGCCCTCCAGGCTGCAGATGGTGACTATGTAATGCACAGGATGGGGCCAGAGCCAAGAGACCTGCAGGGAGGGAGGGATTGGGACTGGCTGGAGTAGAGAAAGGATGCCACACAAGGGTGGCAGTCCTGTCACCTCAAACATGGGCAAGGCTCAAGTAAGTAGAGAGAAAATGGGAGGGATCCCAGGCCAGCAAAGGGACAGTAAAGTATAAAAGTAGGAGTGGCAGAGGGGGAGGGACAGAGGGGCTTCTTCTGGAGGAGGCCCACATGGCCATAGAACAAGCCAGAATAGTGGGAGATGAAGGCAGAGAGATCTCAAAGGTTAAGGACTTTCTCTCATGGGCCACAGGGAGCCCAGAAAGTTATGTGGACAGTTGGGGACCTAGTAAAAGCTGGGCTTTGGAAATATGCTCTGCGAGGGCTGGTCTGGGCTAAGAGTGAAGGAGAGGAGTCAGGCACGAGGGGAACAAAGCCACAGCCCACCTCGGTCTGGTGCAATGGGGCTGGGCCAGCCCCTTTCCGGCCACCCCAGCCCAGGGCCAAAATACACCCTATGATTCCAGCTGAGCCTTTGATGAGGGGGAGGGGTCACTTACTGGCATCAAAGCACCCCATGCAAAGTAGTCCCCTCCCCTGGGAACCGTAAGAGCAATCAGCCCATGGCCTGGTGTTGCAGCCCCAGGACCACAGCTGGCAGGAAGATTGATCCAGGTATAAGGGCCTTGGTGAGAGTGTGCAGAAAGTCCTGGGAAGCAGGCGCTCACGGATCATGGTACAGGCTCCAGGCTCCAGGCTCCAGGCTCAGGGTTCAGAGATCAGTGACCTAAGTAACTGAGCAGTGGCGATGACTAGAGGGAAGAAAGGAGGAGGTACTGGCACAGGTGACACCCTGTCCCTTAGGCCTGCAGTTCTAGGAAACGGGTCCTGTGCCATAGGGTCCCTGCTCTGGCCCTTCTCCAGCCCCACCTCTGTGTGTAGAAAAGTGATCTGTAGGGCCAAGGGTTATGTGTGCCCGGACCCTGGGGCTGCTTCTAGACCACACTCCAGACAGCTGGGACCTGGCCATGGAGGACGGGGACTGGGAGACTCTCAGAAAAAAGTGTGAGGAGCCACGGCCAGGTCCAGAGCAGCCCTGGAAAGAAAGTTTGGCTTGTGTGGAACAATAACCTTCCCTTTCCTTGCCTTTTCAGTCAATACTTAGGTTCCTTCCAAGGCTTTTGAGTCAAGTTCTTGTTCCTTCCACTGGAGTCCTGGGCAGAGACAGACCCAAAGGGCATGACCCTGACTTATCCAGATTATATGTGCAGAAGAAGTTGGTCCCAGGTCCCAGCCTGAAGCACATCCCGGCCCAGTGTTGGGCTGGGCCCTTGGCAGCCTCTGCACACCCCTCACCAAAGAAAGAACCCCAAGAATATACCTTCTCTGTGTTTGTGTCTCTTTTCCTGTCTCTGTCTTTCTCCTAAGAGTCCAGGGTCAGTTCATATATCATTTCCCTGCGAAGGCCATAAATTCCTGGAACAGGGCCATCCATTCATTCCACAGTGATAAATAACTGCTTCTGAGGGAGACTCTTGCGAGCAAACCAGGCACAGACTCTGCCCTGCAAGACAAGAGAAGGGCCACTCAAGAAAACACAGCTGAACAAGAAAATAACTCTAAGAGCTCTTGTTTATTGAAGACTTACTATATTTTCCATTATCACCTCCTTGGTTCCTTACAGCAACCTTGTAGAACAAGCAATAATATTATTACTATTCCCTTCCCACAGACGAGGTAAGCCGTAGGCTGAGTATGGTGGTGCACACCTACAGTCCCCAATACTTGGGAGACTAAGGCAAGATCACTTCAGCCCAGGAGATCGATACCAGCCTGGACAGCATAGCAAGACCTGTCTCTTAAAGACACAAATAATATCGGTAGACAGAATAGCCGAGACTCAGAGCGTTTCAGTATCTTGTTCAAAGTCACACAACTCGGCTATGTCTAGACTGGGAGTTAAAATCCAAGCTTTTAACTTCTAGGGCACACCCACCCTGAAAAGGAGCTCCTGAGGGGGGCAGCCATGGCGGCTTCCTGGAGAAAGTGACAGGAAGGCCAAGCTTCAGGGAAGTTGGTTAAGTGAAGAGGGTTCCAGGCAGAGGAAAGAGCACAGGTGCAGGCTGCCTTCTGAGAAGGGAGCTACCCATCCTCGGACTCTTTTGGAGAATAAAGGCAAGAGGGCTGGGAAAGGCCAGATGGGTCAGGAAGGAATGGGCAGGAAATACTAACAGCAATTGTCACCCTACTGCTGGAAACGTTCCCTACCATCAGTGCTTTGTACCTCTGATTCTCACACCAGTGTCCTTGGAGTCTCCCGGACTGGCAGGGCAAACGGACAGGGAAAGAACAGCAGGTGGAGTATGCTACGAGCTGGCCTTTCAGCTGGTGGCAGGCAGTAGAAGGGTGGGTGGAGTCTGTGTGTTCTGGGATGAGGGAAAGAGCATCCTGCCTGAGGGAGCCGTGCCAGCGTGACTTGCCAGAGAAGTCCAGGCAGAGGCAGGTGGCCTAAGCAGCCAGGTCCAGTCTGGGAATAGCACACAGCGCCAGAAGTCTGATCTTGAGTGACAGGAGCTGGTAAAGTTTGCTGAGCTAGGGAGGGCCTGGACAAGAGCTGGCCTTGAGCTGCTGGCTGATCATTGGCCCTTTCCAGACCGGGCTTCTGTCTCACAGGGGGCCCCCAGCCCCTCTCAGCAGGGAGCAGAGTGTGGGCCTTGCCTTGGCCTGCCAGGGATAGGAGCCAAGAGCCCTCAGCAGCTCAGAAGGGGTCCTGTGCAGGCCCGCTGGGAGCCCATGAAGAGGAATGCAGCCTAATTAATTCTCCAAAGCTCCCAGAGCCTCGCCTTGTGGGAGCAGCTGCCAGGACAGGCCTGCCAGGGCGCCACTGGCCCAGCCTGTCGATCACTTGCTGCCGAAGCCAGGGCGCTGGGGGCCAGACACTTGGGAACCAGCCCCTTGCCTCCAGGCACACACATGTCCTCCAGCCCCTTCAAGGCTAACATAGCAATAATGGTAAGAGCAATAGCCAACAGGCCTCGAGGCCCTGCGGCATACCGAGGCCCTCTTGCTTACGAGGAGCAGTGAGACGAGTAAGTTGCTATCTCCACTTTGCAGAGGAGACACTGAGGCTCGGGGAAGTGAACTTCCCTGCCCCGGGTCAAGTGATCAGAAAGCAACAGCAGGGAAGCTGGGGTTGGACCCAGGCCATCTCTATCCCCCAAAGTATTCATCGTAACCACCATGCTGGACTGGCTCAGTGAGGGGAGCCTAGGCCTGGGGAGGTAGAATGCCCTTCCTAAGGACAGTCTGTTCGGCAGGTTTCTGGGGCAGTGTATGGAGGAAGCACTGCCAGCAGGAAGGCCAACTTCCTGGACTTGGCTCTCGTTGCCTTCTCTTGATGGTGGCCCGGGAGTTGTTCCTTCCCTGCTCAGTGGCTCACTACTTCTGGGTGGGTAGGACTGAAAGAAGTGATCCTGTGTGTGTTAGTCGTCTTTCTGTCACTGTAACAAAATCTTGAGATTATCAACTTCAAAAAGAGGGAGGTTGATCCCAACACTTGGGAGGGGAAGCTGAGACAGCAGCGTCACGTGTTTGAGCCAACCTGCGCTACATAGGCAAGACCCTGTCTCAAAA